TCTGCAGTGATGCGGGCGCTGTACCGGTCTGTCATGGTGAAGAGAGAGCTGAGCCAGAAAGCAAAACTCTTGGTTTACCAGTCGGTCTACGTTCCTACCCTCATTTATGGTCACAAGCTTTGGGTAGTGACTGAAAGAACGAGATTGCGGATACAAGAGGCCGAAATGAGATTCCTCCTCAGGGTGGCTGGGTTCTCCCTTAGAGGTATGGTGAGAAGCTCAGTCATCCAGGAGGGACTCAGAGTAGAGCCGCTGCTCCTCCACATCAAGAGGAGCCAGTTGAGGTGGCTCAGGCATCTGGTTAGGATGACTCCTGGATGCCTCCCTGATGAGGTGTTCAGTGCAAATCCCACTGGGAGGAGGCCCAGAGGAAGACCCAGGACACACTGGAGGGACTATGTTTCTAGACTGGCCTGGGAACGCCTTGGGATTCCCCCGGACGAGCTGGTCCAAGTGGCTGGAGAGAGGGAAGTCTGGGTCTCTCTGCTTAGGCTGCTGCCCCCGAGACACCGACCCCGGATAAGTGGCAGAAAACAGACGGACGGACGGACAGACGGACTCTTAAGTACTTTTGTGTATTTGAATTATTTTCACTCTGCATTTGTTAAAAATAAATATGACAGTTTCCAAAAACAGACGACGACAAATGGGTCACATTATGTTGGCTAGAAGCATGCTGAGGTTAAATGAACACAAATAAACAAGAATGGCAAGTATGACATGAATTAGTTTCACTATTCGATGAGAGGCTGTCATACCCCACATGTAAATCTGTGAYGACATTTCTGACACCTCCCCAGACTGTTTACAAACATAATTATGTGACGTTTAATCTTTCCATTATGTGGAACTGTGATAAACTTGAGACACTTCCAGTAAGAATTACAATTAACTTGACCTCCTTTGTTAGGTTTTGTTGACAAAATAAGTAAAAATACCTGTAGCCAACATTTCTGAAGAACAAACAAMTTGTAGGAAGAATTAGTGTGAATTTTTAAAGGTTTACCTGACTGTATAAAAAGTAACCTCAGGCATTTAGCTAGAGAAGTCTTAACGACACCCTGTTCTGTTCTATGATGCTGTCTTTCAGCTGGCAACGCCGATCTTCGATCTGCCGGAGTTTTATTTTTACTCTACGTAAATTTCGTAAGCTTCAATAAACTACGTAAGAGGCCGAGGGGGTGAGCTCAATTATTTTATGAAGCCAGAGGAAGACACAGAGAATAAATTGAACCAGCTTGGATAGAGTAGGTGGGTAGCAATGTTATACCTTCAGTAGCTGTTGTTGTGTGTTGTTTTCAYAAACTCCAGTCCATCCATTGCTTTTCTCACCTATGTAAATTTTGTAAGCTTGTGTAAACTTCGTAAGCGCATGTGTGTGTGGTTTCAAGTGTCGATGCCCTCCTCCAAAATCCTACTTAAAAGCCAGATTGACATTGGAATACCATTGTCAAACACAGTTCATTTCTATATTGTCAGGACTGCGGTCATTTAAAATAAAAAGCCTGACAGTAAGTACCTAGCCTGGCTCTTGCCTTCCTACGCAGCTCTGCTCAATTCTAGTTTCCCTTCTCTGCTCCGTCTGAGACTTCTCCCATTGACAAGGATTTCATTGGCAGATTTTTAGCCGGGCCAATCAGAGAAGAGAACATAAATTTTCTACGCAGTGTCTGCTTGTAGTTTATTTTACCTGGGCCAATCAGCAAACAGAAGGTGGAGTTTTGAATGACGTCGACTTTCTGCGCAGTGTCTGCTAGTTAATTTAGCATACAGCAGTGGAGGAAGTGAATGAAGCCAGTCTGTGTTGATAAGGCTTCAAATTAAATTAAATTTGTCTGACAAAGCAGCAGCTCTCATTTACAGTCGTCTCGCTCGGCTCGGTATATTTCTCCTCTCAGTAGGGTTGTTTACAGCACATGTGATTTCCGGTTAGCTTCTTAGCTTAGCCTCCTTCACACTAACACACACATGCTTCAGCAGAGGCCACGCCTCCTGCAAGAATCGCTTCTCTATGCAGCAAGTCCAGACCCTTGTAAAGTGAAGGACAGGGTCTGGTTTAACCAGGCTAGTAAGTACCCATAAMTAGGGTTTAACAATCATACCAAATCATTAGATTATCACAAATGACAACATTTTATGATGAAGATTAAATTTAAAAGCAATGCTATTCAGGATAAGAACCTAAATATCTCAAAAAGTCAGAGTACTGTTCATTTTCCTAATAAAAAATAAACATTTTTTTTCCTTTTCATAAGTGCATATCTGAGTCTATGTCTCTTAAACTCTCTCCAGCTTTTTGTTGAAGTCTCCACATTTCTTAATTTCTTGTCTATCTCCTGTCTCTGACCCTCTGTCTCMAGTCTACAGATCTCAAGGGAAACTGACCGGAGAGGGTAAAAGTTTGTTCAGCTGATGAAACTTGAGTCAAGGCTTTGTATTGCTATTTTACRCGGACAAAATGCTGTCTCTCATACTTCCCGTTTTCAAAACACACGAATCAAGAGCAATCATTTCGATATGTTTTATTTSGGATAAAATTTCCAACAAAAGACTTCTGAAAGAAACAGATACACTAAAGAGCGGTCAAGTCGGCTCAACTTAAAAGTGCAACACTTCATGGTTGCAAGACGAAATGACCCATAAACCTCAACGCCAGCTAAAACAACAATTCCATGCCCGCTACTTTGGGAATAAACCATATATGGATAAGTACTTGGTACTGTTCTCACACAGCTCTGTCAGTAAAAGAAAAAGCAACAAAAAGACATTAAATTTGCCAGCAGTTACTCTACAACCCTAAGTTATGCCTCCATGCAATGTCAGCTATGAATAGAAGACTGAATTTTAGACAATAAAATGGCCTAAACACAACCAGTGTTGTCTATGGTAGATTTATGATAAGATAATAGAGCACAACATTTTGATTTAAGGCTGAGAGCACTGAAAACCCAACACATTCCTAGACGCTTTGTCTCTATAAAGCATTTAGTGGCTGTTGAAGAAGGCAGCTTATTTCTATATAGGTGTTACTATAAAAAGTGACAAAGGCAAAGAAAGATGCCGGACAAAAGACTGCTCAGAAAGACAAAAAAAACAACTCTACAATATTAAATCTAAACACTAGTGCTGGGCGGTGTACCGGTTCGTACCGAATACCGGTTTTTATTTATGTTATATTAATTTTCTGAATAACGGACATATCGGTTTAAAAAGCCTGAACACGTTCAGAATGTTTTCTCGCAGCCGCCAGTAAACTGTTTCCCAGGGGACACTTTTCCTTGCAGCACAGCTATGCTGCATTAGCAAGCTAATTGGAGCAGCTTGTTGGAGTAACTGGTGGTGGGTGGTGATTCCGCTGCTTATATTGACTGATGTAAAAAAAAAAAACATCCCGTTTTCGCCATGGCTGAATGTAGTAAACACATTCAGTAACGTGCACGATTAGATTTAACACGCGACATTAATATGGAGATGTGGAGACGCATGGTTCTATTGCGAAAAGCCCAGGGGAAGTAGTTTTGCAGTGGAGTTGAGTTGGCTGGTGTGCAAGGTGAGTTGTCCTGTTAATCTTTATTAAATAATGTAAAACAAAAGACCTGATAATAATCTTTTCTTAAACCTCCTCCTTCACGACCGCACCAAAATGGTGACTACTGTCCAACCACCAGTCAGAGAAAAGACACACAGAGGAGGGAAACAGCGACACAGCCAGAGGTACAGTAAAAGAAAAAAGTGAATAAGCAGTGTTTGTACATTTTATTATCAGCTGATCTGTGATGAAAAGAAAAATACAGTGATATACCGTGAAACCGGTGTAAACGTTTAAAATACCGGGATATAAAATTTTGGTCATGTYGCCCAGCTCTACTAAACACAACTATTTGCTTCAAGATTTAACTGAGAAATCTCAATTATTCTTTTTAGGCTAGTATATTGTCTAAAAATCTAGTTATAATAGGTGACTTCATAAAATATAAGCATTCCATTTCTATACGATGCATTATATAAAACCACGTTTCCTGAAACACTTTGGGAACTGGAGGAAGTTTTATGCTTTTACGGTAACAGATGTGTGACCATTCATTCACACCATGTCTGGACAACAATATGCGGAAGGTTCAACTGGAATTCTCAAAACCCCCGTCACCTCGCTCAGAGACAGCCTGACTGAACTCCTATTGGTCAATCAGTCCATCCGTTTTCTCTGCTGATGACTCAGCAGCTGAAAGCTTCCGGCTGTGAGCCACACACTCAAACATAATGAACACAGACAGAATGTAGGCCAAAAAATAAGGGTTCAGCACACCATGCAAGATTCATGCAGGGTAAAACCACATGCATGGCAACAAACAAGCGTGAACCAATAAGCCTGCATGCACAAACGGTCAGCCTGCTGTGCACAAAAGGACCGAGGGTCAGAGTGTGAAAGGAAAAGAGGCCAGGGTTCATTCTTTCATTGCATTTTTGCACTCTCTCTCTCTTTCTGTTACCCTATTTTCCCATTTCACTCACACTGTCATCCTTTCAGTTTTTGAACCCTGATTCAACAGGAATTCTTTACTCCAGTCTGTACAAACTAACCCAAATCAGAAACTAAATCAAYKTGGTATAGAAACCTTGTAACCTATTTGATTCAGTGATAATAAACTMCTGAGTTACCCCGACCTGACCCATAGTGCAATCATTCTACCTCACTTCATGCTAGCCATCTCAAAAGAAACAAGTTCACCACTGAAAAAAGAAGCACAGTCCTCTGTCATGTAGATGAAAAATGATTGGTCGGGGGGCTCTTCTTCCTCTCTCGTTTTTGTGTGGAAGAGGAAAAGTGCTCAGGAATGCAGGCCAAAGACAGAACGGGGAGGGGACAGTTTCAGGGAGTGGGCCAAAGTTACAGCATGTCAGAAGCAGCAACAATCATTGGGTAACCCATCCTTACACTTGTTTAAACAGATGGGATGGGCCCTGTGTGATGTGGGAGACAACTCCAAGGGCACACTTACAGCCATGGTAGGAGGCAGGTGAGCCCTCTGATCTGCCATACTCCTCACTGTAGGACGTGGAGAGGTTGGGCTGGGACGAGCCTCGGCCAAAACCCGTCTGACTGCTCCCCGTGGACACCTGGGCCATACGCTCCTTAGTCTTCAAAGCCTGGGACCTAAAAAAGAAACAAAAAAARGAAAGAAAWAAGAAACATTTATTTTTCTCCAATACATCAYTTTCCTCAAGTCCAGATAAGTATTGCAGTCCAAGCAGTCATAGTTCTACTACCGAAAAGGCAATAAAACTTGGATACACAGTGCAGATCTAATTCTAAGCTTAGTAAACAAATGTACATTTATGGAGTAATAATCCATCATGGCTTATGTTGGAATGGGAAAAATAAAGATTATTTAAACTTCATTTGAAATGTTGATCATTTCATCAGCAGAATTAAAGCAGAAGCTTGATTAAAGAAATCATTTGCCTAACATTTAAGCTGATGAAGATTTCAGCTTTTTAAACTACGGGTGCACCGATTGCAGTTTTCTGGCCGATAAGGGATCTTTAAAAAGCCTGACATGCCGATTCTGACTTTGGGTACTTTACACAATACACCTTCAATGTTCCAATCTTACTTTATTGAAAAACACTGAAAAATAAGTACCATGAAATAATACAAACTTTTTTAACTGGGTGTGAGGTAGTGCTCACAGCAAAGCAAATGGGGACAGTGGCTGATTTTCAGACCTTTGCAGAGGTAGTAGATAAGATCAGTGGATAAGATCAGTTTCTCATAAGTATCGGCCAACTGCCAATCTCCCAAACTGAAGGAAGTCGGGGCCATTTTATAATGTAAAGTGTACCACGTTTGCTGGAGTACGTGATGTGCAACCTAGTCCAACAACTAGAAACATGGCAGCTTGTTAACGTTTATCAAAAATGTAAATTAATCTATTTTTTTATGAATGAATCAAGTCATATCTCATATTTAAGTTAGAAGTCTCACCTCTCTCCTTTAAGGCGTTCCTCATCTTTGAGCAAGACCACTAGCTGCTTGCTCTTCTCCCTGACGTTGATGCCCTGGTCTTTGCCGTCTCTGTCGATGTACTGGAAGTCCTTCAGTGTCTGGATGGCAAAGATGTTCTCCTTGCACTGCAGAGCCACTCTCTCCGAGCCCGTTTTGATCAGGTAGTCAAGCAGGGTGAGGGCTTTGTACACGTGACGCCAGTTCTTTCCGTGGTCGTTGAGCCGTTTCCAGATCATGTTCATTATTTCGCTGAAGGCCACCACGTTGTAGGTGAGGTCTGCGATCTCCGACATGAGCGAGGATGAAGGGCCCCAGGGGTCGTTGGACGTGGCCTCCCTGACTTTCTTCTCAGCGTCAGAGTAGTTGTTAACCACGTTTTTCATCTGCCGGCGGATGGTGCTTGGCATGATGGCGGTGTTGATGAAGATGGGACAGACAGGAAGAAAAAGAAAAATGCACTCTCTTGTTTGAGAGAAATTTGGACACTATAGCAGTGTCAAAGTTTGAAAGTCGCCACAAAGGGTGAGAGAGTTTGTATCCTCCAGACGTTTGTTACTTCCAACTGCTACTGCCCTTTGTCACGTTGGTTTTAATCCTTTTGTGTCTGGGATTGCTATGTGTGTTTAAGAGGCTTCTCCAGGCCAACGCAGTGTTCCTGAGTCCTCATGAACAGCATCTGTTAAAATCATCTCCACACGAACGGTGCTGGCTGCACACAAGACCTCACTGTCACCTAAAACAGACAAAAGACATTTAAAAAAAGACAGAAAAAAGAAAAAGAAAATGAAACAAAGTGCAAAAACACTACTTCAAATCATTTTCTAACTATTTACCTTAAGATTTATCTTGACAGGAACAAATTGAGCTAGCCACACACTACACTTCTCTAAACAGTGGCCCGGTTTTCACAGGTTAACAATAAGATCATCTGATTTGTATTTATAGAGGCAGCTGTAGTGCYTTTCCTTCTGAAACTAGACTAACATGTCTCATACTTTCATACTTAGCTCAGCATTTTCCGTGCCTGCCTACTTCATATCAGATGTGAACCGAGTGCAGTGTCAAATRTCTCCACGTTCAAAATATCATTAAGTTTACAGTAAATTAGCACAGCGGCAAATTACGAGTGCWGAAAATGAACGTCAGAATGCTTTTCTCAGAAGACTTAAAGGTGGTCAAGCTRCACACTGGGCAGGCCTGAGATACAATCTGGTGAAAATCTACCTTTAATTGTGTGGCTTAATTTACAAATCATTAGTTTATTACAAAATAATAATTTTAAAAAGTCCACAAAATTGGTTCAAAGATATCTGAACCAATTTTGAGCCAACTAACTCATTTTTGCAAAGCAAAACTTACTAACAAAATAATTTTAACAACCAGAAAGAAAATAAGTATGCTTAATTAGRCTAATAATTATATAGAAACTCTTGAGCAATTGTTTAATTTAGTTTGAAGTCTAAATAAAAAAACACCATCAGAAAATTACAATTTTGCAGGTCATCCACTACAAACATCCTAAATTCATTATGAGTGTAAACTGAACAAATTTTATCTGATTTGATTTCCCAATAAATATGTTAGAAAAGGCTGTGTATGTTTTACATTTTTACAATTCTGATGTTAAATTTGAACCTCGCTGAGCTGGATTTCTAATTTTGCTGATGAAATTTCACATAAATTCCTAAACATTTCCAGACCGTAAATGCAACCCGGGCTAYGTTTTTGTGCAGCACCACAGTATTAAGAATGAAAATCCGTTTTCACAGCATGGTGGGTGGTAGAGGAGATGTCAGTGGGAAGATAACTAGAAGAGTCAATGATGATGTCTTGTTTCTTAAAGATCAACGGCCCCAGCTCGTAATCACTTCCTGACAAATACAGAAAGAGAAAGTAACCCACACCTCCATGTTCCATATGAAAACTCTTGACCATGAGAACCTCTGAGCTGCACRGAAAAAATACTTAACCTTTATGAGTCTACTACTAAGCAGTGTTTTTACTTTTAAGTCATACCGTCCGTCGGAAAGAAAACACAAAATTCTGTGAAATATGTAGTTTAGATGGAAACTGCAAATTGTCATAAAGCAGGTGAACTCACAGCAAACTTTAGCTGATTCTGTTTAAATCGTTGTGAAAGCTTTCCTGTATTTCTCAGCCTGCCTAAGACCGATGATGACTTATCCTGTTCTGTAATCCGATCTCTGTATCAAACATGCACCAACAGGCCCCACAACCATGGCCTTTAACAAAGACAGGAAAAAAGAAGAAGTTTTATTTCCTTTGCATACTCTGTGTTATGACTCAATTATTCAATTTCTTTTCAGACTTTTTAAGCAGCATGTGTCTACGTGCAAAGGCACTTATGTTTGTTTTATCCAGCTTCCTGCCTGGTAATGCCAAGGATAGACAGCTGAAGGCAGCAAGGATGAAGGAAACAAGGAGCGTATGTGCTTTGGGGGATAATAAAACAACTTGGCACAACCCATAAATTCACTGAGAAACGTGATTCCTGTGGAGCATGCCCTCCCTCGAAAATCCCTCATCACCCTCCGCCCCGCTGCATCCGCATGAATGCAGCCCAGACCTAATGACGCATCTGCTGCTATAATCACCTATTCACCCGTAGCTGACAGGAGGAAGAGAGAAGAGTCTGTCTTGTCCATCCCACCCTCCTCGCAACCCCCTCTTCACATCCCGGAACAACCACCCCCCTTCACTAGCGGACACCCCGACCTGAGGTCCAAATGAGACAGCACGCGGTTTGTATGTGTGCACGCTGAAACACAGGTCAGATATGTCCAAATGACTGGCTGTGTCATCAGTCTGGTCAAATTGACAGTTATGCATATAAAACCAGGAGGTAACCTGCTGATTACAGGGCTTATTTTGGTGCTGTATGAAACAGATGGTGGGCTTAAATCCCTCAGCTAACCATTCTACTTCTTTCTCTGAAYACATCTGAATAACCCACACCAAGACAGGCGACATACTTATTCCAGACCTGTTCCCACCTCCAAAAACAACAATCAGTGATCCRTGTCCTACACAATTACCCACATAGATAGCAAATGTTGTGGGTTGTGGGTTATATTTTATTAGACATCTGTAGACACTGATGAATATGTAGGAAGTGCAAGGTGACAATTGTTTCCAATGAGCCATAAGGATTTTGTGAATTTTTTWACAAGCAATAGCAAACTATGCACTTAAATATTTTCATATACAGCCTGCTACTGTAAATATTGTAAAGGTTCTATATATTTCCAATTAAAACTAAAAAAAAAATTGTGTGAGATATACAAAACTGACAAAAACCCAGAGAATGGCACATTAAGGCCGTTTCTGTGATAGTTTCAGCCGAAGAGTTTGACCAAAACCTACCAAGAAGTTCAAAACAGACTTTAAATGTATCATATCATGCTTTTAAATCCTTCTTTTTTCTCATCTAAATCATTCACTTATGGTCTATATAAAATAAAACTGCAACGTTTTGGTCTTAATTCCTCATTTTTGTTGCTCCACAGACTCCTCGCTTTCCCCCTGTTCTGAGTTGCGCCTCAGAGCAAGCTGTTTTGGTGCATCTCTTTAAATACAAATGATATATTTCACACCCCGCCCCCTCCAGGTCGCTGAGCATTCAACTCCACCCCGTTCGGCCATATTTGTAGTTTCATAGAAAAACACAGTTATCTACAGACTAAAAACTGTTTTTAAGATAAAATAAGATAAGATAAAACTTCATTGATCCCACAGTCTGGAAATTTGCACATTACTGCAGCTTAATATAAGAGAGGTTGAGAAGAATAATGAAAGATTAATAAAAGATAACAAACAAAACCCCACAATAATACACATGTGATATACAGTATAGTAATGTACCAATGCACATATACACATATACATAAACACATATGCTTATTTACACATATATACACACCGTAAAGTACAGTACAAAAAAGAATGTATATGAAGGTGCATATTAGTGAGGGCAGATGGCAAGACAGAATTAAGGATGTGAACAACAGTAGACTTGTCAATCCAGCCTTACATGTACGAGCCAGAGTCTGACCCAGTGCAAGACACTCAGAATGACAAACCTGCAGAACCACGTCTTCAAACGAATGTGTCACAATGGTGCGTTATTTATTTACCCACTCTATGTACTTACCTACACTGGGGAGCATAGCTAAACTAAAATACATGCATTTGAACTACTATTATATTATATAATTTACTTTTGTGATCAATAAAGTATTTTTTAATTGAACAACTACAATATACTCACACTCACTGTACAGATGTGAAATTATTTTAAATAAATTKATTTTTGTGCTTGACTGTTAGTTTGAAATGTACAAAAAGCAAATAAAATGTAATTGTTTTGATTTTTCATTACCAATTAGCCTATTGATTTCCATGTGTCAAATCAGAACTTAAATCATAATTAAATGATCAGTCACATTCTACTTTGGAACTGTAACTAATATTGTATGTCACAGGTCTGTGGGACAGCAAAGAACCTGGAACCCAAACGTCTAAGCCAGATAAATTTCAAACGCCACAAGGCAGAGCATCATTTCAACTCTAACTCCAGGGCTTTAATGACAGAAGTACTCCCAAACACACCTCATCATCTTTCACACAAAGACTTSAGAGATGGTGTTAGCAAAGCACAAATTCAGCCACTTTTCCTTCTCCAGAAAATACTAATTGGAAAATGACATGATGATGTACTGACAACATTGAATGTAAGAATTTATGTACTTTATTACTCCTTGATAAACAATAAAAACATTTTGACTTCTGAACTTGCATATTTGGCATGACGCTATGAACTAAAAAAACAAAATCACACAGCGAGGAAAAAAATGGCGGACTATGAAATCCAGTTGGCCGGAAATACATTACCATAAACGGTAGTTCCGAAGAAAAAAGTGTGATGAAATAAACAATGAAACGAAATAAGCAACAGCAGATTTTGAACAAACTGAAAAATTTGACCCATAAAAAAATATAAATATATCTTTGCAGTAACTGGACAGAATAAATTAAAGTTTTCTACACTCCTACACACTATAATTGCACAAAAAATAGAATGTAATGTATTCTTCCTGTTTATTGAAATGAGCTGGCTAGCTGCCTGACATTCTAGTATCACATTTTTATCATGAAGAAATACTTTAATTCCAAGTCATCTTGAGATCATGAAGCTAATCAGTTTTAGGGGTATATCCAAGATTTCCTGAAAGTTTCACTGAAATCCAAGAGGTTCATGGGATATTTTTGCTAACAAACATATCATAGTTGACTTAAATGTCATTGGTGAACTAGAAATTAATTCAAAACCTATTTTCATCTGAGGTGATTAAGACCAAATTTACCAGTCCTACTGATCAACAAAAAGAAAAAAAAAACTCAGTTGAGCATGTTTACAACTTTAAGCACATCTTAACAAAAATAAGAAATAAAGCAACTTCACAAACCGATAAGACTGCAACCTTCATAGTCTGGTTATTGAATGAGCTGACAATGAGCACACAACAATAGTTTCATTTTATGATATTAGATCATAAAATTGACTTCCAGACTGCGGGGGAAACTGGTGTAATTCTACATGTAATGCAGCTCAGTAATCCAGGTAGAAAAAAATCAAAAAGAAAAAAAGTAAGTAGGTCCTCTGGATGGGTTCTTCTTTAGTGAAACATTTTGTCTCTCCTCCAAGAGACTTCTTCAGTCATGAACTTACTTTTTTTTTTCATTTTGATCTACATGTAATAGTTTGCTTCAGTTGGTATCTGAATGCGATGCAACTAGTTGGTGAACATTCACGAGGGAGTCTCCCAAATGTCTTGCAACTTTCATGGGGTTCCTAATTTTCTTGCACGAGTCGCAGAATTTAACAGGAGTGTGCAACAATGTTTTCCTCTCTGATTACCCACGGAGTTGTTGCAGACACATCCAACCTGTCTCAAGAGCTGTATTTTGACTCTTGCRCAGGAGCTGAATAGTTCTTGAAAAACTGATCCAAACCTGCTTGTTTTTTATTTCGAAAAGTAAACTCAAGTTGACAAAAATCACCCCAGCAATCGCAGATCAGTGAGATRCCGCCTATGAATCCTCACACTTCTGCATTGTGATGACACCGACTAGTCCGACACGGCAAAATCTGACATTTCGCTCCAATGAGAAAGAAAGCTGACCACCACCAGGGGAGGAACGAAGTACCTGATGAAAGAACGCGGACTGTCAAACATAGCCTTGGTTGGAACCAAGGCACACAGTAATTGGCATTAAGGCTTGACAGGCAACACTCTGAGAACAGGTCCACCTTGTCACACAGAAAGAGTAAAGCTGATAGAAACCTTGCACAACCAGGCACCTGTGTGTGAGTGTGACTGATTACACTCATGTGATGAGAAAGACAGGAGCATCCGGTTAGTCACTTCATAAACAACACATTTACTTCATAACTTGATGGGGGGGGGCTCAGCTAAAAACACAGAGAATTGCATGTTTGAGGATCGAGTCAGACTCACATTTATCCAGACCAATAATTGTGAAGCAACGTGAGGTTTCAGCATCAAAAGACAGGCGGAAATGTCACTTCGAGGTTGTCCTTTGTCCTTCCAGAGAGGGGCGAAAGGATGGTGATGATGCATCCTGTCAACCCCTGAGACTTGACTGACCACCCCGACAACAGACAAAGCCCTGCCCCTCTCCAGGGCCACGTTATCACGGCTTCAGTAAAACTGTGTAAACTGGCGCACATTCAAACCCCCCAACGTCTCTAAAGACGTCCGAAGAAGCGCACAGACAGCGACCACGCAGAAACAACTACTTGTCGCCCAAAATATTACGAAACGTGTAAGGTTTTACACAGCACACTACACTCAACCACTCCTCATAAAAACACAAGGGACTGATAAAGAAAACACTCCGAAATAGTTCGCATATAAATAGGGGAAAATAAACATTAAAACAAACAAAAAAAATCAGTGCGCTTCCTTAGCGACAGAACGGAAGCTAAGTGACAACTCTACCAACTAATGATGGGTGTAGCTTAGATTTGTTTGTAACTTCCTATTAGTACATCTTCTAATAGCTTCTYGTTATTCTTGTTATTGAAATAAGCTGCTAACCGTATCAAATCTGGTGCAAACTTCTAAAAAAGTAACTATTATTCAGAGACACAACGTTAACTTTATGGCTTTTGATGATTGGGTTTGCGCTAACTGGTTTCCTTGACCCCCTAAGTATTTACGAAAGTATGCGTCTAAAAATTAGCTTACATAACAATCTGTTTACCCGAAGACAAATGATTTGCTACTGAAAAGCCACCAATAACAACCGTTATTTCATTATCAATGTGAAAACTTGGCAKTGAAAAGTTTGATCCAAGCTACCCGAGCTTTTGATGGGTCAGCTAGCTTCAAGACACTCTTCTCCCGTAGTTCAAAGAAAGAAAGAACAACTGTTGATCATTCACCGTCATGTAAGAACATCCACTGTATCCGCCGGGTGTGCTGTCAGTCCTAAAACCCCAAAACACAACCGCTCCAGTTAGCTCTCAAACGTGTTTTTATGTTAGGTATGTAAATTAGCATGCTATGCTAGTCAGAGCTAGCAGGCAAGACGGGTGCTCGGTAGAGACATCGCCGAGGCAGACTGGATTACAGGACACCGTGGAGAAACAAAACAACTCGGCTGTAAAGAAAAGTCAGAGCTCACTTACCGCAGTTTTTAGGAACAAGTCCAGTTTTGCTGTTAGTCCACGGAAACAAACCTTTGGRGAAGCCCGRCTACGTAAGGGAGCGAATCACGACGGAGTACTTATTTCGGCGKTCAAGGAGCTTGTTGCGCCTCCGCCTAGCGAYGTGCTGCTAATGCTAATCCTGCTAAAGCCAGAGCTACACGTATCTCTCCTCCTCCTCCAGAACATGGCGGGCAGGGTAGGGAGGTGGGAAGTGGGGGGGTGGCTGGGAAGGGTGTGACCGAGGCGGCCTGAAGTTCCAGGGGAATGGCCATGGACGGAGTTAATGAAGGAAGAGCCAGTGGGCAAAACATATGGTAAAGTTCCCCCCTGGTCAACTTATGAATGACACAACAAATAACATTTTATAAACATACTTTTACATATCTTTTATACTCTTTATTTTTTGTAGTAATTACCAGTTAATATAACTACAGGTAATAAAAGTATATTACATTTTTTTAGTCATGCACAATTAAAGCAAATAGGGAAGTGTTTTGTGTTTGTTTTTCCTGAGTTTGTGTGCGTTTGGTATGTTAGCCAAATGTCTGATAAACTATTTGATGGATTTTAATGAAACTCTTGGAAACTAATTATCGATTGTTTATTTACRGCTGATTAACTTTGAGAGTCAGCCCCACTCAAGATGGCCACCACAGTAAAGCCAGTTTAGAAAACACAAAAATGGCTGTAATAATTTTACAGAAATTCATTTTAACTTTGGCATGGTAGCAGCGTAGACTCATCCCCCAACATACAGATTAATCGCTAATTGATGTGCAACATGTGGTTTTTTTAAAAGCTTGCCAATGAAACGTGGAGTGAACTCTGTCTGTTAGCAAAATATCCCATGATCCATTTGGATGGATTTTAATGGAAGTTTCAAAAAAATATTCATTAAGTACACATCTGCAACTGATTAACTTTTGGAGTGAATCCAATTTAAGATGGCYGCCAAAGACAAACACAAAAACATATATAATTCAGCCTAATTTAGTTGTGGTTGTAACTGAGAGTCCTTCACAGCATATACTTTGAATGTTATGTAGTGAGTGCAAAATATTTTATGAATCATTTGTCAGAGAGACACACTTTGGTCTTGTTATGGCTGCAAGCTGCTAAGCAGACATCCCGGGTTAATTATATTCTTCCCGAATAGCAGCCTTTCATTATCGCAATGTTCCACATTAGTTGGGAAAYGTATCCGTCATTTTACAAGAAAATGCAAGTCACCAGTTGTCGGAACCAGGAATGGCCCGCTGTGTGTTGCAGGTGTGTCAAACCGCAAAAGTTTGCAGGGCAACATTCCAGGTGTTTCCACCTCCTCTGTGGCGTTGTCTCATTAGCAGGATTTGGAATGAGGGAGGGACAAAGCRGTGCTCATGTGTCAGACGCACATGCGTAACATGCTTTTGTTCGGTCAGATCAGGTCCTATAAATAGGCAAAAGGCTTTCTCTGAAAAGTGGATGGTGTGCCGAGAATGAAGTGYCGCCTATAGAAAGAGTAAACGTCACAGAAAAAAACGACAGTTCTTATTATGAAGCTTCCGTACACCACCTGGGCTAACAAGGGCTGAGAACAGTGACATTTTATCCTCTTTCTTTAGATAAAATACCTTCTTGCTACTCCTCTCTCAAGGCTGAGAAAACAAGATAATCCAAGGGAAGCCTAATCCCAGTTGATTTAGCTGTGTTTGTAGCTCTCCGCAGAGGGTTGGAAGAAGAAGAAAAMAGAAACGGACTTATTTAAATGTGAACTGATGTGTGTACGCTTTTATTGCTTTGAACAGAATGGACACAAAAATCACAAATTTGAATTCAAAGGAAATAAATTGAATAAACTTTTTTACATGTTTAAAAACGTTCATTTTTTTATTTTACTTTCCATTTACAAAGACACATTTGCATTCAAGTGAGGTTCTGTGGAAAGGCTATGAACAAACAATATCTTACCTGCTGTACATATAGCTATTTAGTTCAGCTTGTAAAAAGGGGTTTAAATCAGATAAGACACAATATTGGTGAAAAGACATAATCAGTGTGCATTGCCAATGCAATGCACACTATTGTGATTCGTTTGTCATCCAAGTAATCTCAACTTTGGCATGCTTCTCCTCCTGCATACTTTGTCCTAGAGCTGCCATTGAAATTTATATCTGTAAAGCTCCTGTGCCAAATGATGGCTATGCCTTTTGGTGCCTGTACAACTTATAGTTTTTGAAATATTAATGTTTAATAAATTATAATGGCAGTCAATGGAGTCTTGTATTGGTCCAATTCTGCCCCCTGCTGCATCTACACAACATGGTACAGCACCATAGTTTAATAATATTTAAACTCAGTAGTTAAGTGATTACAATATTAATATGATTGTATTTTTATGTTTTACTGAAATACTGTCTTAATATTGTCCCATTGTTGTAATATATTGCAGTTTAGTGTCAAAGATTGCATTGGCAATGTGGCCTCTTTCTGTACACATACAAACCAACTCCTGGCACCCTCTGCCACAGCTCCAATGTTCTCATGGTTAATGCCATGGGCTTTCATGTGGGAGATCAGGGTTCAAACCCAACTACAGCAACTTCAACTAAACATCTCTACAAACTTCATATTGTCACACAATTATCCTCATTACAAATATCTGCTGACCTGACAAGCACAAGCTGGTATCAAAAACATATTTTAACTTGGTCACAGTTCATACTGCAAGTGCACTGCTGCAGGCAAAGCCGTGCTGCAATGACATGCTACATGGCAATGCACATTTGTTTTTTCATCGTAAAAACCCATGTCTAGTTACATCTTGAAATCACTCTATCAGAAGTTTTGTAACAATTCATGCAAACACCATCTTTTAAGACCTTCGCACTGTTTGATCAATGAATGCGTTGACCAATTAAAGCCTAGCATTCCCTGAAGAAATGCATATAATTCATTGTCTTTTATRCAAGAGTTTGACAAAGTTCTTCTGTTGACAAATTACAGCTGAAGTTTCTTTGTGTCAARCCTTTTGTGCAATCTCAGGAGTCAGAGAATATGTTCAAAATAACTRTCAGCTACTACATCAAAATCTAGCTGAATGTCTCTAACACTGTTTTAGTTATCGTCGTTTTTGTGTTGGCTAATGTTGTTTAGCTGTGGCAATAGTCTTGAATTGGAGTAACTCCAAAAACTAATTATTTGTAGATGTTCATCTAGCAATGACTTTACAACAGTTTCCATAGTGGTTCATGAGATATTTTGTKAACAGACACAAAGAGTTGACTCAAACATTGAACGCCAATTATTGAGACAAAGATTTTCCATAAGGAGTAGCACTTGGAGYATGTGTTGTGAGTCAGCYTCATCCAAAACCACRACAAATTTTAACACAATATCTGTAAAAATATTTTAATCATAGCCATGTTTGTATTTTTAAGGTCAGCTGACTGTGGCAGCCACTTTGAATCAGGGTAACTCTAAAAATAAATCTCTTCTACATGTATATTCTTAGATTATATCCTGAAAGTTTCATTACGATCCATCTGGTGGTTCAAGATATATATATATATATATTTTTTTTGCTCACAGACAGAAACACTTGCTTTCATACAGTTAGTGTCAAGATTTTAAAAACAAATCTCCCATTGTAGTTTGTGTTCAAAGCTAAGCTTTCAGCTACTTGAAATCTAAGGTCAATTTTTGTTCACTCTTCATGCAAAGGATGCAGATGCATCCAGCAGAGGGCAGCAGTGTTCTATTTTTAATCCCTCTGAAGAGACATTTAATTCTGTCCAACAGAGGCCCCAATATAATGTGTGTCCTTTAAAATGTGATTAGCACTGATGACCCTTATTTTGAAAAGACAATAAAACTTATTAATATTAAACGCTGCCGTTTTCTTGCTTCTATGTTATCACTTCATTGAAAGAACTTTTTTTTTCTTCGCCCCCTTAGGTCAAATCCACTAACCAGGGCCTGTCGGTATCACTGAGAAGTGTAATAAGTCACAGTAAAAGCCACAAACAGATAAGATTAAACACCGTTTAACACTGCATCTTTAAGTGTAAGTGAAATCTTCAAATCCTGTTCTAGAAGCCTGACAGGTTGATCCTCCTCTTCTGCCTCTTCACTCTGTCAACATTGTATAAAAAAAAACAGATCAGCCCCATAAATCAGGCGAAGCTCGTCGCGTTCAGTTTCTGTCACATTTCGCTCATGTTATATAACTGAACTGCCTCTCTCACACATATACACCAAAAAGAAAAAAAAAAGCTAAATCTCAGCTACTAAAGGCAGCCACGTGTGTGAGTCATWTCAATTTRCATATCTTCCTGCAGTACGTGTGAACACAGAAGGTTCACATGTACGGCGCACACAGGTTTTGACAGTAGCATGCTTACATCTTTCAGGAAGGAGGAAAAGACTGACAGGATTCTGGTTTCTCAGGCCTGCAGAGGGACGCGGGATTTCAGGTGGAGCCAAAAACGAGCAGAAGAGAAGAAAAGAAGACAGAGCGTGAAAGAAGATCATCTATAACACCCACCATCGCTGCCAAGTTATTAGCAGCATCTCTTACCTGGAGAACTTCACGGGTTGATATTTATACATTTCAAGCACGCCGAGATCAATGAAAAGTCAAAAAGAAAACTTTAAAGTGGCTATCAGACATGACATGTTTATCTACTTTTGTGAAAATATCTCATGAACCACTACATGAATTTTAATGAAGTTTAAAGAGTTTRTTTAGATGTGCGTCTGATTCAAAATGACAGCCACACTGACCTTCAAAAAATGGCTGTGAATCTGTCATTTTTACAGCCATTTGCATAGCTATACAGCTATTTACATATTTTACAGCTTATTTGGTGTGGTAGTAAATGACTAATTGGAGTCAATTAACTCTGTCTATTAGCAAAATAAGTCATGATCCATTGGAAGGATTTTAATTCAACTTTCATTTAATAATCATTAAAGGTGCATCTATAGCTGATAAAGTTTTGAAGTCAGCTTGATATTAGATGGTTGCTGAAGCTTATCCAACCATGCAAACACAAAACTGGCTATGGCTCCGTCAGTAACATCTACTGAAATAGGTAACAACAATAGAGACACAATAGGTGTACACAGCAGACAAATTAGTGATTTTCACATTGCAGTATTTTTTTCAAATTAACTATAGATGACAAAAGCATGATAAAACTCCAAACATTTATGACATTTATACCCAT